CTCTCCTTCTCTCTCCTTCCCTCTTTCTATTTCACTCTCTCACTCTCTCTCCTTCTCTCTGTCTCTCCCTCTTTTTTTCTCCCATTTATGAGGGTCGCTGTGTCCCACGGTCACCTGCTCCGCTTTTGCGTCCTTTGGACCAGCAAAGTCGACTGGGTGTGTGTGTGTGTGTGTGAGGGTGAGCCGGATCCACTTAACAACCGGTGTGACTCGCTTAACAAATGAAGCAACTCGCTTAACCAAACACGGCAAGAAAAGTCGCAAAAAGGAACAAGCAAAGCTCAAATTGTCAAACGTCTCCCTTAGCAGCCGCATCCCTTCTGGGCTCCATTTTGGTTGTAAGTCAAGGACTCTCTTGCTGAACCCGTCTTCCTGTCGTGGATTGACCGTTTCAGCTGTCCGCCATCAGGGGGCAGCCAATAACAAAGAATCGGCTCCACTGCTTATCCAGCGGATGACTAAGGCAAGGAGCATCCCTGGGAGACTGGCTGTGCCACATTTCTGTCCCGTGTGGCTTCTGTCCTCCTCCTTATTTCGAAAGCCAAGGTTTACTTTAGATAAAGGACTTATTAACCCTGTCACCCAGATTATATATCATATGTGTGTGTGTGTGTGTGTGTGTGTGAGAGAGAGAGAGAGAGAGAGAGAGAGAGAGAGAGAGAGAGAGAGAGAGAGAGAGAGAGAGAGAGACTTCGGCTGTGGAGCGGGTTTATCAATATCACTTAACTTGGTTACTGATTAGCTCACCGGCAGACGCCTGAATCATTCCACAAACAAACTGAGTTAAATTGGATTTAGATGTTTAGACTAAGCACTGGAAAAATGCAGTTTGTTGGGGGTGCTCTTGCTGTTTCTAACACACACACACACACACACACACACACACACACACACACAATCTCTATGTCTATCTATCTATATCTTCTCTCTCTCCCTCCCTTCATGCATCCATCCATCCATCTATATCATCTCTCTCCCTCCCTCCCTCTCTCTCTCTCTCTCTGCTCTATCTATATCTATCTGTCTACCTGTCTACTGATTTATATCTATCTATCTATCTATCTATCTATCTATCTATCTATCTATCTAT